AATATAACAATCATTACACCTTTCTCCTACGAAGAAAATAAAAATCACAGAATTCTTCACATTGCTTATTAAATAACCAAAAAGAGAACAGCTATAAAGAGATATCCACAATAACAATAATCGAGGTATAAGAGTCCTCTAAAATGCCCAAGCCAAGCACAAAAAGTCACAGACCAAGCTGCAATATCCACCATCCGCCATTGCAATAATCAATTAGTACACATCAAGCAAGGTATCCGCGAAGGAGTTAAGATAAACCCATACGGGGCCCCATAACGAATTCGCGGCGCCGCCGCGAAACCCTACCTGCGCGTCGCCCGAGCAAACAGAACTATACCCGATGCTCCTCCGCTAATCCCGCCATTTATCCGTAACACTTTTCTCCCTTCTTTACTATCCAGCCAGCTCCTTCCAAGAAAGGTCTCTTCGACGCGGGGACATAAAAACGCGGATTATTCGGGCCTGCGATCGACGCGAGCCATAATCCACGTGGTCGCGAGTTCCCGATGGACAAGCGAGCAAAGACCCCGAACGGGAAGAAGATAACGCAAAGGTTAGCCAAACAGGGCTAAACCCACTGCAGAGGTTCTCATTAGGGACCGCGCGCTGCAGCGATGGCTGGTCTCCTCGTGTCTCTGTAATAACTATCAATTCCACGTCGACGCGGAACAGACGGACCAGAGAGAGCGACAGAGACGATATCCTGCCTGGTCAGAGACGATGCTCAACTCTCTCGTCCAGCTCGCGCCCCACCAAGCCTGATAATTACAGGCGAGCGTCCAGCGAATGAGCAGGGGTATCATTAACACTTCCTGCCTCGTAACTACTCCTCGTCTGATACACGATACGCGATATACCCATGCGCGTCACTGCGTAAACCTGTCAACCCGCCTAATCGACGCCGAACGACGCGTTCGCTGCCATGGGCCCGAAGATGGCCCAAAGATGGCCCGAGGATGGCCTAAGTGTGACCTGAGGACAGCCCAAAAATCGTCTGAAGATGGCCGAAGGATGGCCTAAGTATGGTCTGAGGATAGCCCAGGGATGGTCCAAGGATGGCCCAAAGATGGCCCCAGGATGGCTCAAGAATGCCCTAAGTATGACCTAAGGATGGCCCAAAGGTGGCCGGACGATGGCCTAAGTGTGACCCGAGGATAGCCCAAAAATCGTCTGAAGATGGCCCAAGGATGGCCTATGTATGGTCTGACGATAGTCCAGGGATGGGCGAATGGTGGCCCTAGGATGGGCCAAGGATGCCCTAAGTATGACCTACGGATGGTCCAAAAATGACCCGAGGATGGCCTAAGTATGACCTGAGGATAGCCCAAAAATCGTCTGAGGGTGGCCTTAGTGTGGTCTGAGGATAGTCCAGGGATGGGCCAAGGATGGCCCAAGAATGGCCCAAGAATGCCCTAAGTATGACCTAAAGATGGTCCAAAGATGGCCCGACGATGGCCTAACTGTGACCTGAGGATAGCCCAAAAATCGTCTGAAGATGGCCCAAAGATGGCCCAAAGATGGCCCGAGGATAGCCCAAGAATGCCCTAAGTATGACCTACGGATGGTCCAAAAATGGCCCGAGGATGACCTAAGTATGACCTGAGAATAGCCCAAAAATCGTCTGAGGGTGGCCTTAGTATGGTCTGAGGATAGTCCAAATATGGCCGAAGGATGGTCCGAAGATGGTCCAAGGATGACCCAAGGCTGACCCGAAGATGGCCCAAGTATCACCTGTGGATATGGCCCAAGGATGGCCAGGAGATGGTCTAAGTATAGGCTGAGAATGGCCTAAGTATGGCCTCGGGATAGCCCAAGGTTGTCCCGAGGGTGGCCCAAGCATGGCCTAAGTATGACCTGAGAATAGCTTAAGGGTGGCCTGAGGATGACCTACGTATAGCCTGAGGATAGTCTAAGAATGGCCTTAGGATGGCTCGAGAATGGCCTGGTGATAGTCTAAGTATGACCTGAGAATAGTCCAAGGATATCCCGAGGATGGCTCAAGGATGGCTTAAAGATCCTGCAAAAATTCATCGACCAAGGCGTCTTCGTCGTGCGACCAGAGTCACTAAGCCGAGATCCTGATCAAACAACGCTGATAATTCTGCAGTTGGAGTTATCCGCGGATGGAGGATGTCCTGGTCGAGTGAGCCTGTATAGGGAGTGACATTGAGCTCCTTTCTGGAGGCGGCCGCGGGAATTATCCCGTCAATGCGCGTCGCCCCGCGGCCAGGCTAATAACTACCAATTTACCTGTCTCGTAGAAGCAAAAACAGGTTTCACATAAATTCTCTGCTGGTTACATCGTTGACGTTATTATGACAACTAAGTCGGCACAAATCAATTACAACCATCACGGCTATGGTCTATCCAGCGTTTGGTTTCCATGCACTGGTTTGATTACTCGGGCCACTGCCTGGCTTGATTTGGGGATGGTGGTCGTGATGCAAGCGTTGTTTGAGTCGTGTACTTCAAATTTATGATTTTGACACGATTATTAGCACTTGTGAGGTTTTTAATTCCTCAAGAATAAAGAATGAAACGAAATACCAGGTTTTTGGGTGAATTATTTTGGTGATTTATCGTAGATAGGGTGGAGAATAATGAAAAGATTGGTTTGGTAACTGATATTGGAACTTAGTATATGGTTTAATCGCTCGGATCCCGGTTTGGGATGATTTGGAAATGGTGCAACATCGTGTCACTACTAATCGGAGACTGTTTACGAGTGAAATAATTTATAAATTTTAACGAATTCGACTCCCATGAAAAATTGATAGCTTATTAACACTAGAACTACCGATCTTTAATGGGTACTGTGAAAGGGGGTTATAACGCGAAGGAATAGTAATCAGTGGAAACTGTGGTAAAACTGTATAAATCTTAATTGAACGGACGAAAGGTTAGAACTGGCCTGTTAAGGGTCACTCAGACCACAAGTCGTCCTCAGAATACTGGAGACAAAAGTCAAAACGCAGGGGAAGGGATCGCCCCCACACAGCTAGGATGTAGAGTTTACTTTGCTATTTAATTTCCTACAACACTTCGTAAAAATAAAAACAAAAATAAAAGAAAAAGCGGTAAATTTAAACGTATGGACCTATGGTTTGATTCCAGTAGCGGCTCCAGGTTTGAGCGGCAGCATCCACGGGAGTGGCCTGATGTCGTTGCACGTGGAAGGGGGCACGCAGGTCCAGGTGCCGCGCTCTCTGATGCAGGCATTTCTGCAGCAGGACCCGAATCATCCAGGCCTGGAGACGGTGCGACTGCCAACGCCTCCTTGCGGGTCCGATGAGAACGGGCCGCCGCAGCACTGTCGCGAGGTGGAGACGGAACTGTGCCTGGTGTGTCGCCGTTGCGGCCGGGCCTATCCGCAGGAATCGACGCTGCTGGCACACCAACGCTCCTGCTATCTCGGCAATCAGCAGCGCCGCGGCGCGCTGCGCCTCGTGCAATCCCGTTACGCCTGTTCCCTGTGCGACGGAAACACCCCGACTCGGACCTACATGACCATCACCGAATGGCGGCGCCACGCCGACACGTTGCAGCACAGAGCTCGCTACGAGGCCCATCAGGAGCGCCAGCAGCACCAACAGCACCAACAGCAGCAGCAATTCGGCGCCATGAGCGCAGACACTGGCGGACAGTGCGGCGAGGAGGTGCATCCGCTGACGGACGAGATGGAGGACGTGGTGAACCAGATCACCCTGTTGGCCGCTCGCGCGGCCGCCGAGAGCACCACCGGCCAACCCCAAGCGAACGAGAGGGCGAACCAGGACAACAACAACGCTCCCGACGTGAAGAGGCAGAAGCTGGTCCAAGAGGTTGCCGCTTTGGCCGGTGCACGTTAGATGGCAGCATTAGCGGAAGAGGAGAGACGGACGGAGATGTGGGGAAGAATTTGTCACGCGGAGGTAGTTGGCCAATGTCTCGTCTAGCCCCGACGCTGACCACTTTCTTCGGGTGCGAGGGAAACGGAGGACGAAGGACCGACAGAGTGTTCGACGAGGGAGTTACCCGATAAACGAAAGCAAACAACGTTCCTAACTGGCTAGATAAAGGGGAGGGGGTTCCAACCTAGGCAGGAACTGTCGGTGGGGGGCTTTTTCTTCCGCTCCGGGCACCGGGGAATCCCCGGCTCCAGGTACTCGCGCGTGGACGGTGGACCAATCACGAGGATGCCGCATATGGACCTCTCTCTTATTCTCGTTTCATTTCGCCCGCGCACGGCCACTGTCGCGCGCGCAATCACCAATTTAACTAATATTTTTGTTACGACATATGTACACAAGCGTGCCACCAAAGCAGCGCGCTCACCAAAGTTCCTTCGATAGAAAGAATGAAGAGGAGGTTCGGAATGGGGGACACGGAGTAATAGGACCGAGTGAGAACAACGGAGAGAAACGAAAAACGCGAGAGGGAAGAACGAATTGATCGGCGTTGTTTGACGAGAGAGAGACACAGTCTTTTTTGGACGATTTCGGGAATGCACTAGAGACGACGGTTCGTCGTTTGAGAATCGACACACCGGGTGTGAGATCTGTCCGGTGCGAGACTGCTTGTCAGTCGCTTCGTAAGTTTGGGGTGGGTAGAAGATGGCGGCTCGGTGACCGCGAGGCGACGAATCGCGGACGAGGATTCGGGGGGAGAGGAGAAAGATTGAACGTCGACGACGCCGGGATGACGCGTCGAGGTGGGCTGATTTAAACGTTCCTATGTAAAGTAATAATAAAGATTTAATGAAACAAAGAAAAAAAAAAAAGTTACTAAACAAGCGAACAGACATTAAGGCGCGGCGTAGTAGGGTAGATGGCGCGGCGTTCGCGAAACTAAAGCGTCGCGCTCGTTACGAATACGTACGTACATATTCATCTCTAAGAAAACGAATCTTCACTCTCTATCTCTCTATCTCTCTCTCTTTCTCATTTTACGTGCGTGTGTATGGGTGGTACTGCGGACAGGTGTGCGTCAATGGAGGACGCTAGAGCAGGAGAAGCGTTGCTCGCGACGATTCGCCGCCAGAGGGCCACTGGCTTCGAGTGACACGGACACGGACGTAACCAAAGAGAGAGTCACGTGATCGGGTTGCCATTTTCGAGGCACGGAGAAGGAAAATGGACGATGGAAGGCCGGAGAGGTTCACGTGTCGGAGGAGGATCGAGCTTTGGAAAAATCGGTGGCCGAGTATGGATCTTCGAACGGGATAGAGAGCCCACGCGCACACGTGCACACTCACCCACACGCACTCACTCGACACTTACACAGGTGCATACGTGCATACACTGGTATATCCGTTCTATAGTTTCGGGAAACACCCACAGGGCACGGTAACCCCGCGGTTGGGAGGGGTTTCGAGGCACGATCACGTGGTAACGTCGCTACCGGCGCGCGAATTTTAAAACAGTTCCGTTCGTCTTTTGTTTCTTTTTTCTCTGGCCGTGAGAGTACTACGCTCGATGGGGAACGAGGTTGAACGGCGAACTAGCAGAGCAACTTTGGGGTAAAAGAAAGCGATGGGGGATGAAAAGGAAAATAAAAACGAAGCGAATGGAGACGAACGAAGAAGAAAGGAAAACGCGAGAGGGCAAGTTGCCCCGGTGCCCGTCGCGACACGGTTCGCGTTCACGAACAAGCAAAGACCCAGCAACATGGTTCCTATATTTAATAAATTATATTTAATAACGCTAAAGAAGAAAAAAAACTAACGATTAATAATAATATTAATGATAATAATAAACATAGTAATAATAATGATAGTAATAATGGTAAATAGTTATAGCTATCGATAGCTGTAATTGATTATCGCTAGTTAATCGGTGGACGATCGTTTCGTTGATCGGTCAGCCGTACCGGACACCGCGATCGAGCGCAGTGCTGATCGACGAGATCGATGCCGACGAGGACGGTAACGTTCCGTTCTTTCTTCGCGGGTACCGGAGAATGGCGGATTGCGCGGCGCGGGTGGCGCCTCCCGCGGCGACCGCGGGGAAGCGCGGGTTCGCGCGTGCGCAGACCGGGTGACCGGGGACACGGGAGACCGCGGCACAGCACTGGACACGACGGAAGGGCGAAAGGGGAACGGGAAAATACATAAGTCACCACTCGATCGACGGACACGGGGGTTTTGTAAAGGTCTGCTCGGGAACGACAAAGAATCTACTACTAGCTCGTAAGTTAACGGTTAATTACAACTAAACTGTAGATTTTAAGGGGAATGGGAGGTTATGCATCGGTAGACGATACACAAGGCACTCGTGCATAAGTATATATATATAAAAAGGTATATATATATATAAATAAATGAATAAAATGGAGGGATAAAAAATATATATATATTTAAGTAGATAAATATATATATATATATATATGATGTAACGTACTAGAATCCTCGCGGGTACTGTCCGGAACGGTGACGTGTATACGCGCGTACGTACGTCGTGTTTCTCGCGTTCTCTTTTCTTTTTCTTCTTCTTTTCTTCTTTCCAAGCCACGCTTCGCGACGAAATCACACACGCGACACATACACAAAGACACATACACACGCGCGCGCGGGGACACTGAAACACGGAACACGAAGGGACACAATTGGGACGAAAAGGAAAATATTTGGTAACGACTAATGGAAATCGTAGGATGCAAAGTTGGAGGTTATGCCGCAGTGAGTGCGAGTGGTGGGGGAAAGGAGCGTAGAGAGTCGCGGTCCGTGCTCGGCAGACATCTTGTATAACCTCTAAACGGCGGAAGCGTTGGAGTAGAAGCGAGGGACGAAAACAGCGAACGACGAGTGACGACGAACGAGCATACATGCGAATGTAAGTAGGGTACTGCCCGATACGTGGAAAGTAAATTAGGAAGAGGAGAGAGGGGGTTGAAAGGGGTTGGTTGAGGGGATGAATGAGGCGGGCGTAGAAGCCTAGCGGTCGTTAGACGTCGAAACGAGACGCGAAGTAATAATTATTTCTAAGGTAGCTAAGCAACTCGAGGTTCCTGTCTGCAAATGATGCTTTTTCTAATGTATGTAACGTTGATAACGACGATTATTAATATTATATTTGATTATTACGATTATTATTATTATTATGATTATTATTATGATTATTATTATTATTATTATAGATTACGATATTATATTTACATATATGTGGTCATGTATTTATTATTATCTATGTAAAACGTTATAGCGTTGTGCTGACACTGAAACGAATGAAAGCACACACATACACACACACACACGCGCGAACATGAAACATATACACACACGTTTACACTATTAACGTACACGAGCATATTCGTTCGTGATTGGCGAACGATTAATTAAGAAGTGACACGATACACGTATACACGAATCTACACGGATATATACGTACATGTATGTACACACGTATATCTATATATATACAGTGAGAAATTTTCCAAACGATCACGGTGCTCCGTGGCGATCCCATTTTTAAGTAAAGACGATGCTCAAATCGGAGCATCGACACGAATCGAAAGAAAATATACACTAATACACACACAAACACACATACACACCTTTGTAACCGATACCTCGCAAAATAGGACAATTGTTACTATCCGGTGATCACGGGCTAATTAAAGAAACCTGCGTAGATGTTAATCGAAGCTCTAGATTACGCGTAGCGAGCCCCCCCTTTTCGGAAACGTGGCCCGAGGGCCCACGTTTCGTCGTCGATCTCGAACGCTCTCATCAATTGCCTGTCGCAAGAAGGACGTAAACCGAAACGACTATACATACACGATATCACTAATATTAGCAGACGAGACGCGAGACCTTCGAAGGGAGGAGAGAGGAAAAGGGGCGAGACGCGGGTCCCTTTTTAAACGCGCGTTACATTCTAACGGGAGACACGAAGGAAGGGCGGAGGAGGAGGAGGAGGAGGCGGTGGAGAGGAGGGAGAGACAGGAGGGAAAAAAGGAAACGTGAAAAAAGGTATGCACTTTGGCGCACAAAGAATCAACATCGTGTTCCTTTTAATTGTATACATACACATATATATAGACGCGTATATATGTATACACGGAATATTTAATTTTTCTAATCGATTCGCGATCACGCGGCTATACACACGGAGAAGGATAATATGCACGAGAAAAATCGACGAACGCGCAACTTGTTTCGAAACATGTACATCGAACACATCCACCAGCCTACATACAAGACACACTCGCACACACACATACACACGTACACACAGCTACACGAGAGACACGTACACCCGCATGACGGTAAACGTGTGACACACACACACACACGCACACATATGTACGGTATACACATATACGCATACACACGGTGAAGTGGTTGAATCGAGAATGGTCTCGGATCGATATATCGGTATAAACGTATTATATCGCATATAAGCGTGTGAATTCTCAAAACGCGGCAACGTACGTGCGCGTGTACGCAAAACTGGGTGGGTTTTGGCGTTTTGAGTTTCGAGTACGGGAGATTGCGTGATAGAGTAACCGAACCTCGCTACTAGCTGTTCCTAAAATCAACAATGATGAATGAGTGATAAGCGTGCGCGGATTAATTTAAGGAGTGACTTAAAAAAAAAAGAAAAAAAAGAGATGCAAATGCAACCGAGTATGCGGAATTATTATTGCGTTGCGTGAGAACTTTTCAGCGCCCGTCGCCGCCCGCCATCTTCCGTCTCTCTCGTCGGTACGCACGTTCTCCGCGAGCCGGCGCGCGAGTCGCCGTGACCGCGGCACCCTCTGTCGTTCCCGTCGTCGCGCGATCGACCGTCCACGCCACGGCCTGCCGCGATCGTCGATCGCGCATGCGCCGCGTTGACGGTGCACGCCAGGACCGAAGCCGTTCGTTTCT